TTCAGGAAAAAGGGGATCTTTTTGTGACAATACCCTACGAAGAACATTTTTTGATGATAATACTGTTGCGGTTTTTTGTTATTATCCTGTTGTTGAAGAGGCGATAGCGATAGAGATAGCGGTAGCGATAGCGCTCCGCTATCGATTCGTTGGGTAATAGCGATAGCGGTAGCGGACTAGCGGAAGTCTTTTCGATAGCGGAATAGCGATAGCGCGCTATCGTTCTTCGATAGCGCGCCCAACACTGATTGTTATTATAATTATGGCACCTGTTATGTTATACATTCACGTTTTTCCTTATCTTAATATTCGTCAAATTGTTATCAGTGTGTGAATGAACCAATCGCGAGAATATTTAGATGTTGTTGTTAGGTTGATTGCTGCGTGAGTTGAATTTGATTTTCCTACATTTGCCTTGAAAATTTCCTCTTTTATTTCATTTTCTTGCAATCCACGTTTCACCTTAATATCAACAAATGTTGCGTTTATAACCGTTTTATTCGTTATGTTTACTTTTGCCTCTGTCTTCGTTCTAAATCACTGTTTCATTCTTATGATTTTATTGTACATTAGTGAGTGCTTAATGGTAAACTTTTAGAACGTATTTATGTTTATGTATATATACCTTATAATGTGGTACACTTACGGAAAAGACGATATAAATCATCTTTCAAATAACCTTTGAAAAAAGCCGTGCTTGACTAGATTTTTGGTATCTTTTGTAAGCGGCTCGCGATCAACTGTTGGAGATAGCTCATCAGTACGTTAGTGTTTTATGGATGAAACATATTATTCTAGTGTTGTGTGGAGAGAAAAACTGTCGGGGAGGGGGAATCGGTTACGGGGACAGTCTCTGAAAATGGACGGGGAGTTTCTGGGAGAAAACTCAATTTTAGCCCCGTCCCTGACTCCCTGAAAATGTAACTTTGGAATCAGAGTTAGCAGGACTTTGAAAACAAAACATGATTTGTTTGTCATTTCATGATTCATTCATAGAATACGTTATATATTGGAAAGAAATTCACTGAACTGAGTGGAATTGAATTATATCATATTGAATGCGCCATAAGAACAAAAAACTGCAACGTTTTCAGTCAGTCAATCTCCGCGATGAATATCTCGGAAATCAGTCTTTGCAGCAAAAAATCACGTACACATATAGATTTTCATCGGAATTCTTCACATTCTTGTGAGTTCATATAGTTGTTTTATTATGCATTGATGAGGAAATGTTTCTATCATAATATTATAAATCATTCTTCAAGGAATAATATGTTCAACTCAAAATTATATGTAACATTTTAAACATAATGTGATTTGCTGTTTGTTCATCTACACAGAGGATGGATTTCGACCACAAAGATATGAAATTTATTCGATGCTGAATTGAGATGTTAAGCGAAGCCGGATAAAGCAAACGTTAATTTTGCATAGTAATGAGATCGTTATCTGCGAACGAACTAACTGATGTGTATGTCGATGCTTACATATATGCGTATAATTCACATAAAATTTGTGAAATGTCCGTTATACTTATAATATGGTAGCAATGAGATTGTGAAATGCTCTGACAATGAATCCATTTAGCATTATTAAGTTATTGTGTTTATACGCATCCATTTGTCCAGCAGTGCATCAAATCTTAATATTTCCTTCAATTCAATCAGCCAATTTCATTTCTCAACGGATTTCTTTAATGCTCACGCATGCCCAATCTCATCATCCCTCTCATTTCATGCATTAGCATCTGCATCAATTGCAACAATAACAACGTTATCATATTCTCATCATAATGAACAATTTCCTATTTTCAAACACTCCCACTAATCGAACTTATTGTTCATGAATCATGATTTCGTACGAGTATCTAAAGCGAATTTGTTGCTCGTCTAGGAAATTGTTAATATTGCATTAGCTGATGAATCATTCAGTTTTGGTGGTTATCGTAAAGCGTAGTCTTAATTGAGCCTCAATTATCGCTCACGAGGGGATGAATCTACTCATTGTTGAATTTCTTTTAGCATATTTCGTCAGATAGTGTGTATAGTTTCATCAGATATTCAGCACATTATAATTGAGATTTTATCATTATTACTATTTTTATTACTATTATTATTGTTGTTATCTTTATTTTATCATGAATTGACCCGCTTAACTAATATTTATGCCTTGCGGAAACCAACATTTGAATGAAGCATTATGGGAGAAAATCTGATAGCCTGATAATTACAATGGCCATCTTTCACATAATAATAAAAATAATAATTTGTGAGCAATTTTTTGTAGCATCAAATAGCGTTTTCCACTGTTCGATTTACGACTGTTTTAAGAAATAAATTCTGAACTCTCAGTTAGCGACACCAAATGGACAAAGTGAAAATTTGTGACTATCGCTCCTTAGCGAGACCTACCTAAATAGTGAAATAGTTATTTGGCTAGTAGCGGAGTAGCTATTCCGCTATTTCACTATGTTTCGCTAACAATAAGCTATTGCCCATCTCTGAGTAAAGGCATTTGCATGTTATCAGTCCATCTATCGTCTGTACATGGTTTTTCGATCATTTATTTGTGACAAAGCATCGTTGGTGATGTGTTCAACTCATGTAATAGTACTGAACTTCATTCATGTTCTTTTACCCATAACATATCGGTATTCATATCATTTGTTTGTTATATATTGAAAAGACGATGAAAAATCGAAGATATCAACGAATCACTGAAGCGTTGCACTGTTCCTATACAATACTAATGTGCATGAGTCTATTTGCAATGCCAAAATATTTTCTTGTTCACGACGTTCCGCATTATTTTTTCATGTTGCTATGCTTATTTTTATGGTGTACGGCTGCTTG